ACCACTCACGAAGCTGCTGTGGAGAGAGAGGCTCCCGCTGCGGCGGGACACCGAGAGCACCTCCAGACGCAGCACGCGCAGGCTCAGCACCTCCAGACACAGCACCCTCAGGCTCCACACCCCTAGGCTCAGCACCCCCAGTCTCAGCACCCCAAGTCCCCGCACCCGCAGGCTCAGCACCCCTAGCAGCACCTGAGTCGACAGCTACCTCGACCGGCTCGGCAGGGTCTACCTGGGACACACCTGAGGGGGCAGGACCCTGGAGGGGGAGGGGGTCTACCGGGGGAGTACCTGGTGCGAGGAAGAGCGGCGGGGGGGGGGGGGGGCAGTGCGGTAGGGAAAAACACGGTAGTACGACACCGACTCGTCAAATGTGACGTCCTGAGAGGACAGAACACGACGCGAGGTGGGGTGGTAGAACTGCCACCCGGGTGCATCAGGAGGGAAGCCAAGGAAGACACAGGGAACGGCACGGGAGGACAGCTTGTCCGCTGTAGTATCGCGGACAAAAGCTCGAGATCCCCAGACACGAAACGCGGACGCATCGCCAACCTTCCCCATCCACCGCAGAGTAGGTGTGGTCTCCGGCATGGAGACACGAGGCTGAAGGTTGATCTGATGCGCAGCGTACTGAACCGCGAACGGCCACAGAAAATGGGGAGCAGCCGCATGGATCATGGACGTACGAGCGACGTCCATGACCATGCCAATGCGGCGCTCAGCAATCCCATTTTGCTGCGGGGAGGCCGGAAGCGTGAACGTCTGGCGGATGCCCTCAGAACGACAGAAGGCTCTCAGGAGGTCGGAGGAAAACTCCCCGCCTCTGTCTGAGTGCAGACGCAGAACAGGAAGGTCTGAGCCGAAACTCTCACTAAGCTGGCGACGAGCACCGCGGATCCAGTCGATCAACACGTCAGGGACCTCACCCTTGCTGCGCAAGGGGAAGACTGTGGTGTAACGCGAGTAGTCGTCAACGACCAGAAGGAAGTAACGCTCGTGACCCTGTCCACGGACGCGGGCTGGGCCCCACACGTCCATGTGAAGAGTCTGCAGAGGGGCCTCAGTCGGAGGAAACGAGGAGGAGTGAGGAGCGGCGCGCTGCCGGCCCTCGACACAAGGAACACAGGTAGGGGCAGGCCCCGGAGGAAGGGGAGGGAGGGACCTGGGGAGTCCAGAGACAAGAGCACGGGAGGCCATACCTCGAAGACGAGGCAGGGAGGGGTGACCAAGGCGGTGGTGCCAGAGGAGAGTCTCGTGCGCCAGAGGACGACACGAGCAGGGGGCAGACGCAGGACTAGACCTGGTCGCGGCAGCAAACACCTGACTGGACGCAGCTACCTGACCAGACGCAGGGACCGGAGGAGGCGCAGTAGTCAGTGTGTACAGACTCGACCCTGGCCTACGGGTGAACGTGGCCAGGTGGCGGCCCGTCCGAGAGCAAGTGCAGTGGGTCACACGCTGACCTCCAGGGGTGAACTGGTCAACCCACGCGTCCTGGAGGTCAGCTCCACTCACCAAGTTCGTAGAGAACGAGGGGAGGTGGAGTCCCGACAGCAAGCCCGACGGGGCCGCAGGACACGGTAGAACCGTGGAGGAGTGTGCAAGGACTGGGCCCCCAGAGGGGTCAGCAAGGGAGACCGCAACAGGCCGACTGAGCGGCGTGAGCGTGGTGCTGTCTCTAAAGAAAGAGCGCGAAGCACCAGAGTCAAGTGTGAAAGTGTGCAAGGCCTCAGTAGGTGCAGTACCAGAGAGAGCAAACGCACCAGCACCTGGAGCAGCAGACGCACTAGTACGTGGAGCAGCAGACGCACTAGCACCTAGAGCAGCAGCCGCAATGCCCGGGTCGGGCGGGATGTGAGAATAATTGACGAAAGAATGAATGAACTAGGAATGAGATGGGTACAAGTAGGAAACACATAAGTGTTGTACCCTCTAAGAACTACCCCACTACAGCCTAAATAGACTATAGCAAATATAAGTTTGACACACCCCCATAGGCAAAGTGGGGGAGAACAAGAGGTCACAAGACCAGTCAAGAAAAGCAAAGCAAGCTCAGGGTGGATCACAAAGTCACCACACAGTCTGAGCACAAGCAAAGGGCGATAAGGCCAGTTCACATGCAGAGAGTTATATAAAGGAAAGCAAACAGTACAGTGAACACAACCTAGCAAGTGGAAGCATGCAGGTATAAGTACATAGAGTACAGTACAAGCAGAGTCAAGAAGTCAACAAGTGAGGCACAGTAGGTACAAGGCCTAACACAGTACAGAAACGCTGATGATCACAAGGCTGAAGTGCCTTGGTGAAAACTTCAGCAGTGTTGGCCTGAGAGGCCACGTAAGCAAGACGAAGCTGGCCACACTGCTGCAACTCTCGAGCAAGGAAGTAGCGCAGAGCAATGTGCTTCGTTCTGTGCTCCAGTCTGTGCTCTTGACACAAGGCCAGCATGGCCTTGTTGTCGACGTACAGAACTGGAGGAGAACGAGGCGCCTCTCCCAAGTCGGTCAGCAGGTAGGTGAGCCAGCGAAGCTCCTGTGCAGCCATGGCCCCAGCGTAGATCTCAGCCTCACAACTGGAGCTGAGAACAGAAGAAGAGCGGGTAGACCGCCAGGAGACAGAACCGGAGCCAAGGCTGAAGGTGTAACCCTGTGACGACCGCTGCGTAGCCAAGTCGTCACCCCAGGAGGCGTCAGCGTGACCAGTGAGGACAACTCGAGCCCGTCCTCCAAGCACGAGCCCCATGCCCGATGTACTGCACAAGTATCGCAACACCCTCTTCGCAGCATCCCAGTGCACCTTTCGGTGCCTGCCGGGAGCCACGTAGCGAGCCAGAAGGCTGAGAGGGTATGCGAGGTCAGGTCGTGTGCAAATCATCAGGTACATGAGGCAGCCCACAAGCTCTGGATACGGGCCACTCGGCTCTACGGACTCGTCCGAAGGTGGAGCTGAGAGCGAGTGACCGGTAGGCAGAGGAGTGGACTGTGGTGAGGAGTAGGTGAAGCCGAAGCGCTGAAGGACCTGCTGCACCATGTGTGACTGAGTCAAGGTAATTGTGCGCTGTGCTCTGTCCCGGGTGATCCGCAAGCCAAGATAGCTTGTGAGCTCACCCAGGTCTGTGCACGTGTGTCTCTTCTGCAGCTCGGACTTCACGTGGGCGAGTGCCTCCGTGTCAGCAGTAGCAAAGACAAGGTCGTCTACGTACACAAGAATGTAGAACGGCGGCAGAGTAGCGTCAGTGCGTAGAAACAGAGAAGGGTCAGCAGTGGAAGGAGCAAAACCAAGAGCAGCAAGAGTCGTCCTGAGCGTGTCGTGCCACTCACGGGGCGCCTGGCGGAGACCGTAGACTGGCCGCCGGAGACTCCACTGGGTACCAGCAGGAAACGACCCAGTGAAGCCAGGTGGGCGGCGCAGCCAGATCTCCTCGTGCAGGCTGCCCTGTGGGAAGGCTGTGCTGAAGTCAAGCGAGTGGAGCACGTAGTCACGCTGAGCAGCAACGTGCAGCAGTACCCGAAGAGTGGTCATCTTCGGGGTAGGGGAGAAGGTCTGAAAGAAGTCAACTCCCTGTCGCTGACTGAAGCCACGTGCAACGTAACGCGCCTTGAAGGCAGGCGGAGAACCCGGCGGCCGCTTCACCCTGAAGATCCACATGCCACTGACGATGTTTGCCCCAGGTGGGGGAACCTCGTCTACGTAGGTGCCTGTGGACTTCCAGGAAGCCATCTCTGCGTCCATGGCTGCCTGCCACTGAGAGGAGTAGGGACCCTCTATCGCCTCTGCGTAAGAGCGCGGGGTCGGGATGTCTAGTGCATCCGGGTCTCCCTCAGGGGCAAGTAGCATGGACACGAGATGAGGTGAAGCAGCGGCAAAGCACTCAAGGTCCTCCTGTCTGTCCTCAAGGACGTCTGTGCCAAGAGCACACTCACCCCCGACGGACGGAGGACAGACAGACGCAGACGCAGCAACAAGACTAGTGGCGTAATCTAGGCGACAGGCTGCAGCAAAGTCAACAAGCTCAGCAACACGACCAGCGCGAACAGTGCGGACAGGCGACGCAGAACGAGACGCAGGCGACACAGGACGCGACTCATACTCACGACGCTCCGTAAGACCTCTAGTCGGACCAGAGTAAGGAGAAGGACCATGCAGGGGAGGGGCCGACTGCAACTGCGACTGAGACTGGACAGGCGGTGGACTCAGGAAAGGAGGAGGAGGACCAGGAGAAGGCGGGGAGCCAAGAACCTGCTGAAGGAGCGGAACGTAGTACGGCCGCGGCCGCGCAGCGCCTCGAGAAACAGCAGAGACAGAACCGGTACCCTCAGCCCCAGGGTCTCCAGTCCCAGCAGCACCTCCAGCAGCTCCAGCACCAGCACCACCTCCAGCAGCGCCAGCACCCCCAGGAGCTCCAGCACCAGTAGCACCTCCAGCAGCTCCAGCACCAGCACCACCTCCAGCAGCACCAGCACCTCCAGTAGCTCCAGTAGCACCTCCAGCACCTACAGCACCAGCAGCACCTCCAGCAGCTCTAGAACCAGCAGCACCTCCAGTAGCTCCAGCACCAGCACCACCTCCAGCAGCGCCAGCACCTCCAGTAGCTCCAGTCGCACCTCCAGCACCTCCAGCAGCTCCAGCACCAGCAGCACCTCGACAGCGCTGAGAGTACCACTCACGAAGCCGCTGTGGAGAGAGGGGCTCCCGCCGCGACGGGACACCCAGAGCACCTCCAGACTCAGCACCCCCAGTCTCAGCACCCCCAGTCTCAGCACCCCCAGTCTCAGCACCCCCAGGCCCCGCACCCGCAGGGTAAGCACCCCTAGCAACACCTGAGTTGACAGCTACCTCGACCGGCTCGGCAGGGTCTACCTGGGACACACCTGAGGGGGCAGGACCCTGGGGGGGGAGGGGGTCTACCTGGGTAGTACCTGGTGCGAGGAAGAGCGGCGGGGGGGGGGGAGAGGCAGTGCGGTAGGGAGTTGCGAATTCTGACAGGAAACAACCCCAAGCTAACTTCCGATTGCACCTTTGTCCTCCTGCCCCATTCCCCCTTTGTACTCCTGCCCCATTCCCCCTTTGTACTCCTGCCCCATTCCCCCTTTGTACTCCTGCCCCATTCCCCCTTTGTACTCCTGCCCCATTCCCCCTTTGTACTCCTGCCCCATTCCCCCTTCGTACTCCTGCCCCATTCCCCCTTTGTACTCCTGCCCCATTCCCCCTTTGTACTCCTGCCCCATTCCCCTTTTGTACTCCTGCCCCATTCCCCCTTTGTCCTCCTGCCCCATTCCCCTTTTGTACTCCTGCCCCATTCCCCCTTTGTACTCCTGCCCCATTCCACCTCTGCACTCCTGCCCCATTCCCCTCACGACCTGAAGAAACCCATTGAGGAGTCTCGAAGAGTTTTTTTATCAACTCATAAACCGTCCCACCTCCAGAATTTGGACTAGACTAAAAAATCGTCCCACCTCCTGAATTTGGGTTTTACTCGACAAAAAAATCGTCCCACCTCCTAAATTTGAGTTTAACTCGACTAAGAATCGTCCCTCCTCCTGAATTTGAGTTTTACTCGACTAAAAATCGTCTCACCTCCTGATTTCTTTTTCTTTGGCGACTCAAAAGCCGTCTCACCTCCTGATATTTCTTTGAACTTGGAAGCTCTCCAATGGGTTTAGGAACAACTTGCACTACCATTTTTGTCACAAAAAGGACTCACCATGAGCTTCTTAAAACTTGTTTCACGATCCACTTTTTCACATATGTGACCTGCAGAAGCTTCCCTTAAAGCCGTCGCACTGTGCATCTCGGAAACCTTCAAGCATTCAAACACGTTCTCTCCATTCAAGTGCTTAGGAAGAGCAGCATCCGTGAGCTTCTTCAAAGCTTCTACTCCATATTTGTCTGCAGCGATTAGCAGCTCCAGCTCCTGCATCAACGCAGGTTGCAGGAAATTAAAGAGCTTTGCCGATGAGGAATTTGTGGAAATCATGGCAAAGACAGGCTACTGAATGTGGTCAGTCTCATCTTCGTGGTCGCCTCTGTTACCTCTACATCTCCTGTATACATGAAATTGAGAAGCATCTCCAGTGTTTGACAATTCATGCCCTCAATGTGAATAGAACCAGTCTTCTCTTCTTTAAACCCGCCTCCAAACATTCTTGCAAAGACAGGAGACCTGCAACGAAGAGCAAGGAATCTCTCCTCTTCAAGGCACTGACCCGAAAGGATGAAGGGAAAGGTACAAGGAGCAATCGTAGTACCAGGCAGAAAGGATGCAGCGATGTGCACCGATCTTCGCTCCATCCCGTGTCTCCAACGACACATCGCAGAGAGTCGTATTAAGTAGGCCCTTGATCGTATTAGCGAATTGCTGCAGGTGGTTTGCTTGTTGCACAAATTCCTTGAAGGGCTGAATCTGTGAAAAAAGTATCCCAACAGGACTCACAAACGTACCGAGCCTCGCATCTGCCACACGGACTGGCTGCACAAATCCCACAAGTAGACATTGGGAAAAGCCTATATTCATGTAAAGACGCTTCGACGAGAAAAGAAAGAATGCTCCACCAGGCGGCAAACGGCGAAGTGGTCTATTCAAGCCGGAAAATTCTCACAAAGCTAATGGCAGCTCCGAGCGGTCACACGACCTACGCTTCGTCCCCTCGTTGTCACCTAGCTTCACCCCCAAATTCGAAGCGTTTATTGGACGTGTCAGATGGATGGACAACCGTTGGCGAGCATGCTCCAATGCAAGAGTCATGCAAACCACACCGAAAGAGATACTCCAGCACGCACAAAATTACATGACGGAATCCGTTCGTTCAGATGAACTACCCTCGCATTTCATCACCGTCATTGCCGTGGGTATCATGGCATGTAATGCTGGTACCACAATGCTCATGGTTTTATGATCCGCCAGTGTCGCCGCTTCAACCAGAAATAACAATTTTCCAGGGCCATCCTTGCATGAGAGAAGCCGCTGCGGCGTCGCATGCTGGTATGGTGTCGCATCTCATGCTGGAATTGAAGGCATGCGTTGAGACGAGAGATCTGAACATGCATACAGCGGTGCAGGGTTTTCCACTGTTGCTCAGGTGGTTGGTGCAGGGATTCAATGCGGAAGCTCTCCGCCACATCTCCAGTACGAAATATTTGTAACCCGTCGCTCTTATCGTCTCACATTTCGAGAATTATTTTGCAGTTACGCTGGGGGGAGAGACCTGTGGGAAAATGGCTCTTGCGAGCTTGCTCTTCTTCGCAAACGAGCGTGGCGAAACACACACATATGAAGGGACACTTGCTCTGGGGGGTAGTCGTGGTTGCCTGATCTGATCACAGGGCTCCTATGCACGTAAGTTTTCTCCCTGTAATGTCACACAACACTCAAGCTTTTCTCCACCTCATACACGTGATCGCCTACCTATGTCAAAGCCATTGCGTTGCGTGCATGGATTACAGGCTGTCCCTTCCCTGCCTATCGTGTCACTGTGCCCTTTTCTAATTCACGAACTACTAGTATCTAGTAGGCATGCAGAACACGATAAGCTAACTCGTGTAAAAATGTTAATCCAATGGCCGTTTTACGCAACTTAGGTTATACGAGAAAGGGGCGAGACGTCACGAGAGGGATGTAGAATGGAAAGTCCCAGGAGGATCATCGAAACATCAAGACGACCACACGTGGCAAGCAACGATGGATTACGGACCAAGCAACGACGGGGTGGAGTGAGCAGCTGGATAGATGCGTGCGATGAAGCTTCCGCGGATCCATGGTACCATTTTATTTACCAGCTTGCTTTTCGCTTTTCTCTTCAAAGCATCCTTGTTTTTCGCGTGTTCACTCACGTCAGAGACGGACCGTGGACAAATTGTGTTTAATTTATCATTGGGTGGAAGCAGATGCCTATCTCCCCAACGTGAAACCGTGGTCAATTTACTCAGTGCTTCATGAAATTTATTTCATCGCTGTGATTGCAAGATTAGCCATAAACCATTCCGACCGTGGGCTTGTAGTTCACAGCCATGAGCGCATGCAGTGTGTGTAGATACTTTAGGAATGGCTGCGTGCAGTGGAATATTTGTGTGCCCTGTATCGATGCGGCCAGGAGATTCAAACAGCTGGAGAGCCAAGTCAGTGAGCTAGAGAAATACAAGGAGAAAGCAGAAGAGATGCAAGATAGCTTAGATCAGTCCAACCTGTTTTCTCGTAAGGTCAACGGCATGCTGGTCACACACTTTTGTGATGTGACATTAGAGACATGCGATGGAGAAAGGTTTCCTGCTCATCGTTGCATACTTGCTGCATGGTCAGTGTGCTTCCTTCCTTTACTTCTTCACTGGTTCACTCTCGTATGCTGGCAAACCCCATATACTTGCATGTAGTCAAGTGATGTGTGCATCACTGGTGGGGTAAGACGAGCCGACTGATTGTGTATGGTGCATTTTTTCTTGTGCCTTTTGTGCAGGATATGTTGATGACACACGACAAGAGAGAAAGGATGGTGACAGTAGAGTTGCTGGGAAGGATATTGCCAATTAAGTCCGAAGATTGAGCGAAGGTTTTTGGACACACAAGAGCTGATAGCAGCCCGCGAGGGGGTGTTCATTATAACTGCAGCAGCAGGTGAAAATGGGTTGTATATATCAGTGTTTCTGTTATGTTGATGGACTGGCAGTGGATTCAGTGTAGCTACGCACTGGGGATCGAGGAGATGAGCAAAGTACACAGGCTGAAAGTGGGGATTTGCAATCTGTATAGAGCTTAAGGAGGCGAGTTTGCTGAGGCCTTGCACACCTTTACGCTTGACTTAGGTGCTTCCCGCTGTTTCTTTCGCGACAGTACCACCCTCACTCCTCTCTCTGCACCTATACCGGTCAGACAGGCTCACCCCTCCGGGGGCCCAGTTCTTGCCCATTCCTCCACTGTTCTCCCGTGTCTGGCGGTTCCGTCCGGCTCACTCTCAGGTCTTCACCTCCCCTCGTTCTCTACGAACTTGGTGAGTACCGGTGCCCTCCAGGATGTGATGGTCACTACCACCACTCCTGGGGGTCAGCGTGTGTCGATCTGCACGTGTACATGGACGGGCCGTCACCTGGCCACGTTCACCCGTCGGCCTGGTTCTAGTCTATACACACTGGCTACTGAGCCTCCTCAGGTAGCTGCGTCTGCCCAGGTGTCCGCGTCAGGTCCGGTAGCACCTCCTTGCTCGTGTCGCCTCCTGTCGCACCAGACTCTCCTGTGGCACCACCGTCTTGGTCACTCCTCCCTGCCACGCCTCCACGCCTCCTTGTTTCTGGTCTTCCCAGGTCTCTGCCTCCCCTCCCGCCCTAGCCTGCCCCGCCCTGCCTTCCTTGCGTCGAGGGGCGGCAGCGCGCCGCTCCTCACTCCTCGTTTCCCTCGACGACTGCTCCCCTGCAGACTCTCCACATGGACGTGTGGGGCCCAGCCCGCGTTAGTGGACAGGACTGCGAGCGCTACTTCCTGCTGGTTGTTGACGATTACACGCGTTACACCAAGGTTTTCCCCTTGCACAGCAAGGGTGAGGTCCCCGATGTCTTGATCCCTTGGATCCGTGCAGTCCGTCTCCAGCTCCGAGAGCGGTTCCGTGAGGACCTTCCAGTCGTTCGTCTACACTCTGATAGAGGTGGTGAGTTCTCCTCCAAACTCTTGCGGGACTTTTGTCATGGGGAGGGCATCCTCCAGTCGTTCACGCTTTCGGCCTCCCCGCAGCAAAATGGGATTGCTAAGCGTCGCATTGGCTTAGTCATGGAGGTGGCTCGTACCTCCATGATCCATGCGGCTGCTCCCCATTTTCTGTGGCCATTTGCGGTCCGGTACGCTGCGCATCAGCTCAACCTTTGGCCCCATGTCTCCTTGCCAGAGACCTCTCCTACACTACGTTGGACGGGGAAGGTTGGCGATGCGTCGGTGTTCCGGGTCTGGGGCTCTTGTGCCTTTGTTCGCGATATGTCCGCGGACAATCTCTCCTCCCGTGCTATTCCCTGCGTCTTCCTTGGCTTTCCCCCTGACGCGCCTAGCTGGCAGTTTTACCACCCCACCTCGCGCCGCGTCCTCCACTCCCAGGACGTCACGTTTGACGAGTCGGTTCCCTTTTACTGTCTCTTCCCCTACCGCACTGCCCCTCTCCCACCCCCGCCGCTCTTCCTTGCTCCAGGTCCCCCTCCGGTAGACCCCCTCCCCAATCAGGGTCCTGCTCACTCAGGTGTGTCTCAGGTAGACCCACTCCCCAGGACTGTGCCTGTCGAGGTCGCTGTAGACTCAGGTGCTGGTAGAGGTGCTGCATCTGGGGGTGCTGCGTCTGAGGGTGCTGCGTCTGGGGGTGCTGGGCCTGTGAGTGCGGAGCCTGGGGGTGTTGAGCCTGCGGGTGCGGAGCCTGGGGGTGCTGAGTCTGAGGGTGCGGAGTCTGGGGGTGCTGAGCCTGGGGATGCAGAGCCTGGGGGTATTGAGCCCGAGGGTGCCGAGCCTGGGGGTGCTGAGTCTGAGGGTGCGGAGTTTGGGGGTGCTGAGCCTAGGGGTACTGCGTCTGCTGGAGGTCCTGCGGGTGCCTCGCCACGACTCTCTCCCCGGCGGGAGCCTCTCTCCCCACAGCAGCTGCGCGAGTGGTTTGCTCAGCGCACACGCCTTAGGAGTGGAGCTGCCACAGCTGGAGGCTCTACCGCTGGTGGCACTGGAGCTGGAGGTGCTGGAGCTACTAGTCTTGG